ACCATGACACACCTGTCTGCCAACAAACGCCCGCAGCGCAAATCCTTTCCGAAAAGGATGGCTGCTGCGACGTTGATGTGTCAGGTCGGTTCGGGCTGAGTTGGGTTGGGTTGGGGTTCAGCTGGCTTGGTGTCTAGCTGGCTTGGTGTCTGTCTATCTGTATGTTTGACAAAGAAGTAAGTTAGGTTGATGGAATAAGGTGGAGGGGAAATGGGAAATGTGAGATAAGCGAGGAGGGGTAGGGTGTGCTGTGGAATGAATGGATGGATGAATGAATGAATGAATGAATGGACCCCGCATTTCTTCACTCTTCTTTTGTTTCTTCAGGAGGGGCTGAGAGGGGAGGGACGAAGGGAGGGGAAAGGGGATTGGCATTGGCATTGGCATGTGCATCTGGGATGGGATGGGGGGTCATTATCTAGGCGCATGTGTACTTCTTATTTATGCTTGTGGAATTTCCGTTTCTGATTTCGGCTTTCTGTCGCGGTGCACAATCGTCGTACAGTCGTGTGTTTGTTGTTTGTTTCGTGGTACTTTGTTCTACTTCCTTCTACTTCTACTTCTCTTCTTGAAGAATTGAAGAAAATACATAGTAACCACGAGAAAGATAAAGATAACGAATTCGCATTCGAAGTCAAATAAAATATTTGAAGGGTTGGAGGAATATCTTATTTCGGATTTTATAAAAGAGACTTTGTTATTGAAATCAAGTGACAATGAGATCATTAGGGCCGTTGGTGGAAAGTTTGAAGGGGCAGTTGAGTTCTGATGCGAAGATTTTGATGAAGGGGGATGAGGGGTATGCGGAGGGGATTAGTAGATGGTCGAGAGCGGCGGAGAGGGAGGCGGTAGGTTTATGATTTCTTTTTGGGGGGGGTTTTCTTCTTCCTGTTTTTGCGAGGGAGGAGTGGGGAGAGAAAGGGAGAGGGAGAGAGAATGGTTATTGCTCTAGAGGATAAGGGGAGCGGGGAGCGCAAGAGGAGTGATGTTTGTGTGATATTTGGGGGATTGGAGAATTGAGATTTCCCATCACAATTTCCCGAGGATGTTTTTTTTATATCTATCTATCTCACAGTCAATGTTCAGTACTAGCTATATCGTACTTGCTAATGTTCTCTCCAGGCTCTAATTGTTTATCCTACCACCGCCGAGGACGTCTCCAAACTCGTTCTTTTTGTCAAAGAACAGAGGCTCGATTTTGCAGGTTCGTATTTGGTTAATAAATTACTCAATCAGATTTCATGAATCCCTATAACTAATTCCCCATCACAGTCGCCGGCGGTGGACACGGCTCATCAGGCGCCTCATCGACCCAAAATGGACTTTCCATTAATCTCTCCAAAATGCGCAACGTAACCGTAGACCCCGTCAACAAATCAGCCCGCTGTCAAGGCGGCGCCCTCTGGTCCGACGTCGACACCGCTGCTTTCGCTCACGGCCTCGCTGCCGTCGGCGGCACCGTAAATCATACTGGAATCGGCGGACTCACCCTCGGAGGCGGCTTTGGTCATCTCACCGCCAAGCACGGATTGGTGATTGATAATCTCCTCGAAGCAGAAGTCGTGCTCGCCGATGGACGCATTGTGACATGTTCTGCAAATCAGGAGCCTGATCTCTTCTGGGCGATCCGCGGTGCGGGTGTTGGATTTGGCGTCACGACCAGTTTTACCTACCGATTGCATCCGCAACCCAACCGTGTCTGGGGCGGCATGCTCGTTTTCCCGCGCGAGAAATTAGAAGCAATCGTTTCATTCGCCAACACAATCGTCACGCCCGACGAAGAAAATGCTCTCCTCCTCCTCGCCTTTGCCTCTCCACCCCCAGCCTTCCAGCCCGCGGTCCTCATCCCCGTCTTCTACAACGGCACAGAAGCCGAAGCCCACGCCTACTTCAAACCGCTCTTGGATCTCGAACCACTCGCCAACACCACAAGAGAAATGGATTACGTAGAGGTAAACGGCATGCTCAACGAGCCCATGGCGCACGGCCTACGACGCAACTTGAAAGGCGCCGCGGTCATGTTCCCACTAACCTATTCCTTTGCCGCGGAAATCTACACCGAGACGGAGAAATTCCTCCTCGAAACCCCGGATGCGAAACATACCATGGTGATTTTCGAATACATACCTTTTGGCAAGATATTAAAGGTGAGACAGCAGGATACTGCGTATGCGAATAGAGGCGCGTATGGAAACCTGGTATTTGGAGCGAGTTGGGAAAGTCAGGAGACGGATACGAAGTGTAGAGAGTGGTGTAGGATGATGGCTCAAAAAGCAAAGGCGGAGTTGGAGAGGAGGCTCAAGGACGGCACGGATGAGATTACCAAGGATGGAGTGGGTGCTTATGCGAATTATGATGGTGGTAAGTTTTACATCTTTTGTTTTTGCACTTTTGCTTCTTCCATTTTCGATATCTACTTAGCAACAGTCCACCATGCATCTTCGTCGCAGATTTTTGTTTTCATTGGCTGATGATTCGAATAGCAAACCATGAAGCAGGCAAATTGGTTTATGGCGTCAATTATCCTCGTCTTGCGGAGTTGAAGAAAAAATATGACCCCGAGAATGTATTTTCCAAGGGTCCAAATCTTGTTTCCTGAGTCACTGGATTATAATTTGAGCATCGGTGTCAATTATTTGATCCAAATGTTGTCCTCCCAGAATGAAATTCAAGGACTTTTATATAAAAGACTATACGAGAGATCATACAAGAAAGAATTAGTGCACGCAGTGAAGAAACTTTTGATATATCAAATTCCGTCCTATGGAAAGGTAGGTAGGTAATGCTAGGACATAACAACTCGCGCCAATCCCCATAAAACCTCAGAACTGAACCACCCTTCTGATGTTTCCCGCTTGAAAAAACAGATGCAATATGAATACAATACAATACTTATTAATAAGACCCCCGCAATAAAAACCAAAAGTAAACTATTCGTATCTAAAAATCGAATCGATCTGGTAGCACTACAGGTGCAATCAATGTCCATGTATAAATGCCATAGCATACCCATGAACTGATAATTTTGACCCACGATGCCCAATATGTTCTTCCCACAGGTGCAAAACTTGTATTTCCATCTGTGTATTCATCCATGTTCATGGTGAGAAGTGTAGCTACCCAAGTGGTCGCCAAGAAGAAAATTACGTGGAATAATGCATAACTGTATTGTGTCGAGGTTCTCTCGTCATCTCTGGCGGTGTTTCCACTATCGCTTTCATCATCATCGTCTAGAAGAGCGTCTGCAGGAAGACTTCCTTCTTCTACGGCCTGTCGAAGAGCTGCTGCACGCATTTCACGACGGCTATCTGGTTGTTGGGTAACTAGATCATGTTCATCATCCTCGGGCAACGCAATCCTCTTTCCCTTTCCTCCCAAAGCTACTCCTTGTGTTGCGGCTCTGGTTGTTGTATATGCAACTGTGAGCATGGTAACGATCGCACCAATAATAATGGAGGTTGCTCGTGTTCCTTGAGCTCGAATAAGAGGGTTGCAATGCTTCGTATCAGGCTCCATAGATACTGCAGACATGGTGAGGTATGTACAGTAAATAGCAACCATAGCTGATTGCGCCAAACCTGCTCTTGGATTAAATTCTTGAACCATAGGGTGGACAGAGACGACCGAGACGATAATTAGGAAGATTAAGTTGAGGGTGATAGCAGTTTGGTTCATTGAGCATCCGGCACCAGCAAAGAAAATGTATTGTACGATGGTCATTGCCAAAGAACATGCATACATGCCCAATGTTGATCCGATCAAAATTCCTCTCCAAGCGCGAGAATCATATGCTTCGATCTGTTCGAGACAGTATTCCGCCCAGGTATGTGCAAGATCAACCAACAGAATAAGTCCGAGAAGGAGGAATAGTGTCGATCCGGTGAATGCAATGTAGTTTCCCCATACCAAGAAGAACCCATCTGGGATCAAGAACGAAAGTACGATCAAGCCCAACCAGGCGATGATTTTAGGACCCCAAAATCCATTTTGTATTGCTGCACGTGGATTTTTCGAAGAGTTGACGCCTAATAGCATCGATGCCATGATAAGGTGGAAAATTCCCAGTGCGAAATTGATCCGATGAACCGCAACCCAACCATAGCATTCTCCTTCTGGACAACTGATCTTCATATAATCCAAAGTCAAGCCTTGTAGTTTGTTAATCGCCCATGGTGTTAGCATTATCCATGATAATATTGAATTGATTAAGAGGATGAGGGCGTATGCGATACGAGTGGCAACACTTTTCATCAGTCAGTCTTGGTTTATCAAACAAACGCCTCGAGTCTGAAGATATACCTGTTACCACATTTACCACAGGCACTGCATACAGCAGAGCATGTTGCCGCTCCACAGCAACTTGCAGCAAAACCCATCACCTAAGAATATAAGTAATCTCTTCATATCAAAGTCCAATAAGTAGAACTCACAGTGCCTATGCTTGGCACAGCCAACAAAGGAATTGAAAGTAGAGCGCCCATTTTTGCGCTCTGCTATAATGTGATGTCGCAGTATTAAACTTGGCAATAAAATAATCCGAGACTCTATTGAATGTGATTCATGAAAAATCTGTATCGTTAATAGTTGAGCACAAAAGTTGAAGGATAACGTTAGAAGTTGTTTTGGAGATGGCTCCTTATGATCTATGCGGCTGATGAAAGCAGTCTAGGCGACTGACCTGCATTAGTGCGGTGATGGTTTGTAAGATCCACCGTAAATCAAACTGATAAGGAGACATTAGCGGAGTTGGTTTATCTGATAGCGGACTTACGTGTGTGCAGACGACAGCAAGAGGATACTCTAATTTCTTTCAGACAATCACTCGTACTTTGCCCAGAAACACTTGGGAGAACACTTTTGTCTCTCATTACAAAACATATCATTTGAGATTTTTCGCCAGCGAATACCCCTTCTTTTTGCTTTGACTTTTGCAATGATTAAGACGTGAAACTATACAGGCCCCCCTTTGAGTAATCACGATAACGACGCGGTCATCGAACATGTCGGAAAAGCCATTACAAGCAGCGAGGATAGTGTCGAGTGTTGCAGCAACCTGTATTGCATTGGCATGTGGAACGAACTATGCTTTCTCCAATTGGGGCCCGCAGTTCGCTGATAGATTGAAGTTATCATCAACACAGATTAACTTGATAGTAAGATCACTTTGCGCCAAACTATCTGCTCTTGATATCATGCTAATTAGTTGTAAACAGGGTCTATTTGGAAATCTGGGAATGTATGCATGTGGCATACCAATTGGATTATTGGTGGATGGAAAGGGGCCTCGACCAGCCGTTCTATTGGGAACGGTTTTGCTTGCCGCGGGATACTTTCCACTATATCAAGCATATGATAAAGGGTCCGGATGGTTACCACTACTTTGTTTATATTCATTCTTTACCGGACTTGGAGGGTGTGCTGCCAATGCAGCTGCCATTAAGACTTCAGCTCTCAACTGGCCACACAACAGAGGTACAGCGACAGCTTTCCCACTGGCCACTTTCGGGCTCAGTGCATTCTTCTTTTCTGCATTTACTGCATTTACATTTCCAGGGGATGCGGGACATTTCCTGTTAGTCCTGGCCTGTGGAACCAGTGGAACAGTATTTTTAGGATTCTTTTTCCTACGAGTGATACCACATGCCCATTACTCGGCTCTTCCCGGCCATAATCGATCCGATTCAAATCGACTACATCGCACAAAATCAGAGGATAGTAGACGTGCAGAGAGAGATATCTTAGAGGGTGAACCTGGTATGTTATCTCCATCTGTTGCGTCTTCGGGCAAACATCATATCCTAAACCATCATGTGATAGAGGCAGAGGTACCCGAGAACGGCGTCACGTCCGATACCGACGAAACCTCCTCCTTGATGTCTAGATCCTCCGATGAAGAATCTCGAAAAAATGTAGACGAAACTGACAAGAAGGATCACGCGCATCGTGTAGATATTCGAGGACTGCAACTATTCAAAACAGTCGAATTTTGGCAATTGTTCGCTTTGATGGGGATACTCACAGGCATTGGATTGATGACTATCAAGTAAGTTTCTCATTTTACTCGAACTCGAGCCTCAACTAATCTATCCTAGTAACATCGGAAATGACGCACAAGCACTTTGGCGACATTGGGATGATTCAATCCCAGAAGAGTTCATCATACATCGTCAAGCAATGCATGTATCCATCCTTTCCGTTTGTTCATTCACTGGTCGTCTCCTTTCTGGTACGTAATCCCCTCTATGTTCCAATTTCTCTTTCACTAACGCTCCAGTAGGAGTTGGTTCAGACTTCCTCGTCAAGGTCCTACGCTGTAGTGGTCTATGGTGTCTAACTCTCGCCTCTCTGATCTTCTTCGTCGCTCAAATCGCTGCTCTCAACACCGAGAACCCACACCTCCTATTTCTTGTCTCTTCATTCACTGGTCTCGGTTATGGTTTTCTCTTCGGTTGTTTCCCATCTCTCGTAGCTGAGGCTTTTGGTGTTCATGGTCTCTCCACAAACTGGGGTTTCATGACCCTCTCCCCAGTCCTCTCAGGATACATCTTTAATCTTTTCTATGGCACAGTTTATGATCGTCATAGTATTGTGAAAGATGGAGGTGTGAGGGAATGTACCGAGGGCTTGCAATGTTATCGCAGCGCATATTTGGTTACTGTGGCGGCGTCGGTTTTGGGCTTGTTGGTTAGTTTGTGGTGTATAAGGTATACCCATTTGGAGAGACTGGAGGAAGCAAGAAAACTTGAAGCAGATGAGAGAGTGGAGTAAAGATGCATGAATGTGCATCCCGCAATCGAAACCACCAGTCTGAAAACGATAGGATAATAGGAGATTCGATGAAAGACGAGGGTTGGCCCCTTGTCTGGTAGCTACAACGGAGGTACTGGTCGAGTTACGAAAGGGTGTTCTTGGATAGAATGGTCTTGGAAGGAATGGAATTGATAGACGGCGGACCGGCGGCTACTATAGAAAGGTTTAGAGCTGGAAGGGCGAGGGGTGTTTTCCTTTCTTTCCAATTTTTTCGTTCTGGCAGCATTAGCGATTGGATTAATGTGAAGATGGAACGAAGAAGGAAGGTCTAATGCACGGGTGCAACTCCAAGTCCATATACTATTTTCCATTCATGAAATTGGAATCAAGTGGTACTCAACATCTCATTCATTGAACAATCAAATTTTCTTCAAATACTATCCAACAAACTTCGAGATGAGATTAAGACGTGACGGAATTTGTGAGACCTGCATCGTTGACTACCTAGGTAAAATGCGGATTCTCGAAGTTCACTTATCTTCGGGATGTTCCTATTTAAACAAGTATCGAATTTGGTAGGTAGTGTGTGCAGAAGTCTGTGATTACCGAGTATACAATGAGGCTCTATATAGAACTTAATCTGGTGGGGTGATCAAGGATGAGTAGGTATACTCGGTATCTTTTCGCTGTCAGCAGTAATCGAATGATTGAAACTATATGCAATAGAATACTGTCGTCGTGGATTTTCATTAGTTAAATCAGCTGTTTCCTTATAGTACATTTTTCAGTCATCAAGTGAAAGTAGGATGATATACCAATTCATACCTCTCTGGTTATACTTGTATTCGCGCTATCTCCTCCTACATATTTTAGATGAGTTCAACAATCTGTGACATTCTTCCTCGCGTTCTCTGAACTTACGATATATACCTACCTACCTGCTGATCTCAGAGGCCTTAGAGGCGTAATAGGTAGGTATCTACAGGCTTGAGGCCCTGAAGCAGATGTGCAACAAAAATGTCTGAAGTGATAAAGTTAAGAAGTGATTGGCGTCTAGTAATTGGTAAGCCGTGAAGTGAATCTTGAGAGTGAATACAAGGATGAGATGCAGTATGTGGGTGCAAGATTTATATGTCATGGTCTTCGGCTATGCACATCTTGCCTTCGGATTGAAGTATCTTCATGATGAGTTGTGATATTGACATGGTTGCACTCATGTCGCATCTACCTGGGAGTTGCATCTCTGATTTTAGTTTTTCTTGATGAGACTGCGGTTAGCGAGTGGCAGGTATATGATTGTCTGGGTATGTAGACGTGTGATCCTCAGGTCTGGGATCTGTTTCAAACAAGTACGGGTTTATCAAATAATTTGAAGGAGAGAGTAGATTTGACCGACAAAGCGAAAGACTAGAATGTTCAGTGCTGGATCCATATCTGAAAATTGGTTACCTAGGCACTGTATTGGATGGATGTGGGAATGAGAAATGCAAGATCAAGATTTTGGGAAGGAAAATAAGAAATAAAAAGGTTGGCTATGTTCTTCGACAAATCTTCAAACTATCGCAGAGTATTGGAAGCTGCGTTTCTAGCTTAACACACATGTATTCAGATCGTTGAACGAATCTTCTCCTGCTGTAATTGTCTGTATTTAAGACTTCGAAACCATACTGGGAATGAAAGAAGAAAAGCAGTTGGATGATGAAGCATTAGACGAAGGATTGTAGAGTACTATCGGAATTTTCGTAGTTTATTTTGGATGGCATAAGGGGGATAATTTGTCGATGGAAACTACAAGATACGGAATCATTATGAGGAGCATAGTTCCAACTTCTGGAATCTTTCAAGATACGTAAATCTATGTTGTGATTACACTAGATACTGTGATGGTGTTGTAGCGTTGAAGTGGCGATACTACTCACGTTCAAAAATATAATCGTGCTCAAACTTGAAGTATAAACTTACTCGAACATCGAATCAGTATGACGCTATCTCGTGTGAGCAAAGTACCACGACGACCAGTGCACCACCCATTAAACTTTACAGGCTGCCAGATATATAAAAAGTTACTCCCAGTGAACTCTATAAATAGCTTTCCAGCAAAACACCAAATCTCAATCAAATGTTTGGATTTTCACATGTTGCATACTGGTACATCATCATCTATTTTATATCACAAGCTTGCTCGTTTACTAGAACGAACTTTCAATACTGCCAAGACGTTTAGGGTACTGCAAGGACGCGAGTCTTTCTACACTACAAGCTCATAAGCTTTAAGGTTAAAGCTTCGTTCCGTATGTAGGTCGCACCGCATCTTACGCGGCTCTTTCAGACCAGTAGTCAAAAGTAGTAGGCAGATCTTTTCGTGTTGGTATGCTGATGCATATACGAATATCGTGAAATGGTATGGTGGATGTTTTGCATGTTGTGCTTTTCGATGTCAAACTTTGTGAAATGTAGCGTGGCAGTATTGCTAAGTGTGTAGACATACAGACAATTTGGCATTCAGCATTTGCACTTGATTTTGCAAAGAAATTTCTCCATCTTTGCGAAGGTTATCGATATCTCTCTATATGATGCGATGTGATGACTGTAAAGCTAGCTGCAGCACGATAGATTCACAATGGCGCAAGAGCAGGTTTTGCGTACGTACTACGCATATTTATCTTGGTCTAGTGTTTTTGTTCAAGGCGTGCAAGCCATATTCAGAACCAATCCCCGATCGAGCTCTCTATCTACTTGGCAACGTAGATAACGAACACTTTCTTGGTTTAACGGGATGTCAATGGTGCAGTAACGATATGTAGACTCCGTATGTACTAGAGAGGTGTGCAAGCACGGCAAACCAGTATATTCAAAGAGTTAGAGACAAATTGAATCTATGTGAGGCGTGAGGCGTCGTTCACGGGTGAATCGTCTGTTATTGGTTGGACGGAATTAGATTCAAGGTACTATGCTGCCTGTCTAGTACTGATTTTATTTCAGATGCATTGTAGCACTGGACAAACGAGTTGTGCTTTGTTGAGGTTGAATTGTATCCAATGTTGAACGATGTCGACTATTTGTTAGCAGGTCTAATCAAAGCGTTACCTAGTATCTGCAGACGTGAAAATGAAGCTTACACAATGCGCATAAAGGCGGCATTTGGACTGAGGGGGTTAATTCCATATTTGTAAGGAAAGTGGATGTGAATTAATTATTTTGAGCTTCATGTGGAGCTGCGGGAGAGCTGCTTTTGAAGAGAACGTGGTGTGTGTGTTGGTATAATACTCGAGTAGAGCTGGATGTATCACCACCAGAATTTGAGATCCCGCCTGTTCTCTTGATGATAAATCTCTCCTTTACAGTCTTCATTGGCCAGACCGTAATATCTACGAGCTTAGGTTACAATCAGAAATGAAGCAATTTTATATCCACGTCTCGTTTGGACGGACACCCAATTCTCCTCCGCAGTCTCCGTCCGACCTCTTCCCTTCCCCAACACAAAATTATCCGATATTAAACATCATCCCCAGCCAGCGATAATTTTCAATGGAGCCCCAGATAAATGGATTCTGGCGCGATTTCTTGGGGATGAGAAAGCCGTTTCCCAGCCACTTGAATATTCTATTGAGTATCTAGGTATAAAGTTTTATCACCTTTCTAACCCCATTTGAGTCTTGACGCTGCAATCCCAAGTTTGACTGGTAGTCTGAACGAAGTGCGCTTCAGGATGAGCCGCGTGGGGGTTGTAAAAGTGTAAAAGTGTGAGATGGAGGAATTGAGGAATTGAGGAATCGAGGAATGATAGCGCTAAAGATTGGTGCTACGGGGTAGGTAGGTAGTAAGTAGGTACCTATCTATCTATACTGGGTGGCTCCAAAGTTCCAACTGTTGGTTTGGAATTGAGAGCACATAGCCCCTGCCATAGGAGTGAAGACATGTTCTCTATCCAAGGCTCCAATGCAAGCAGTAACTTCATGAGATCCACGGAACATCCTTGAGCATGGACAATACCGTACAGAAGTAAATCATGTTTCAATGTTGGAAATGCTGTTGAGGATGCGTTCGGAATCTGATTTGATATCAAGCTGACACAGACATTGATTTGGTACTGCACGACGTACAAGAATTTCAAAAGGTTGGTTTACATCCCCCATAGGTTTAGATGAAAGACTACTCCCGTTGGAGCGCCACTGCTAGGTCGGAAAGGTCCAAGGCACTGATAAAATAGCTACTGCATGATAGTGCATGTACCACCATATGCAGCATCTTTATTTATCTCTCTACCACGCCAATGAATGTTCGACCAACTTATATTGTCATGTCGCGATACTGCAATAGGACGTACGAATATTACCCTATCCTATCTCGTATCTTCCAATCCGTACAACAGTGTCTTTCACTCAATTTCAAACATCAGTAACGAAAAATGAATTGCTTATTAGGATCGTCTTATGAAAAGAATATCGATGTAAAAACCAAGCACTAAACGTGCCAAGAAGCTTTAGAACATCATCATGCGACGATGACAAGAAGAATGAAATATGTAGATCGACCCCTATTCACCAATCATGGTGCACAAGATCCTCACGATAACTTGCTGTGTTACTGTGTATGTGCTAAAAAGTGGTTTGTTTAAACGTTCGGCCGGTCTTTTTTCCCTGGTATCTGAGCGATCAATTTGGCTTGAAACATAACCATTTTTCGCAATGACAGCGAATATGCTGGTGTTGTCTGGAAATTTGAATGAAATACTTCCTTCAATTTGTTATAGAAGTTGGGGATGTTTATGTTACTCGCTAAGTAGGACGTGTAGATAGGTATATACAGATTCTAGATTCTTAGGCTAGTAGACAAGTAGATAGATAGATCCTTTGGGTAGACGTTCTGCACACTATTATAGTAGGTTCCCGCGATAGTAACTTCAATCGATCGACGATATCTCCCTCCTCTCGAGCTACTCAAGAGTCCTTTCGACCAATGTGGATGAAAAACGGTAAAGAAAAGCATCAAGGTATACCGAGAAGTCATCCACTCAT